TCTGTGACCCCATCCCAGGTAGTGGATGACCTAGCTAATACCCTGGGGCGGTGTTCTACAGGTTTTTGTATATTGCCATTCCTGATATCTGACCTGTGTCCATTTATCCTCTTGCGTAGTGACTGTCCAGTTTGGCCAATGTACATAGCAGAGGGGCATTGCTAGCATATGATGGCATATATAACATTGGTGGACGTGCAGGTGAATGAGCCGGTGATGTTGTAGCTGATCTGGTTAGGTCCTGTGATGGTGTTGCTGGTGTAGATATGTGGGCAGAGTTGGCATCGAGGTTTGTTGCATGGGTTGGTTCCTGAGTTAGAGTTGTTATGGTGCGGTGCGTGGTTGCTGGAACCACGCACCGCACCATAACTCTGCCCACATATCTTACCTTCTTCCCCCTTGGGTGGGGTACCTTCAGTCCTTAGACACTGGGGACGGGAATCTCCCTTCCCTAGTGGGACAGGGTCTCCCTTACTTCAGTTCGCTAGACTCTCACAGCACACCTCCAAGCTCCAGTCCTTTCTCTTCCTCCCTTAACTGCCTGAAGCAGGGGGGTTTTATTAGGTTCCTGACAGGACCTTAATTGACTACAGGTGCTTCAATTAACCTGTAACAATCCTCCCTAGTCTATAGGGAACCATGCCTTAATTAGCCTAGGGCTTATATATTTTCCCTCTCCCACTGCTCCTTGGCCCTCCTGAAATTTGGTTAAGGTCTATATAGAGGGTATGTGTGGTAGGATAACATGAAGGAAGAAAAGGTTCAGGTTCTCTATAATTTTTTAGATGTTGGAGGTGGGACATAATCAGCATGGACACTACTGCAGTGTCTTGGAGAATGAGAATTCCTCACTCATGAGCCTCCATGGTGTTCCACTGCCTACCCCTTCTATGCCCAGGCAGGATTTTCCCCTAAGAAAGTATTGTCACTGTTCCCACTTAATGCTGTAGTTGGACTAAAAAGAAAAATGTAAACATATAATTCAACCTTTTCCACATAGTCTGTGAAAGGGAATGAGCCAGCGTGACAAGGAAGAAATGCTGAGAGAAAAAGGGAGCAGAGAACAGAGAAATGTGAAACACTACCCAACTAATAACATTGAGTTTAACAGAGATTTTCCACTCTGTCTGATAGGTCAAATGATCTTATAATACTGCACTAGACAGAAGGAAAATGGAAATATTTTCATCTTCTCTAGGAAGCAATATTTCCCTAGCTAGAAATTATTCGCTGGAAAAGAAGTTTAAGGGGAGTCTGTCAAGGTTTATTTAAACTTCAAAAATAACTTTCTGAAAATTTGGCCTTTTTGTTGTTGCAGGTTTAGAGGTCAGAGTTCTCCCCGTGACATTCCTCTCTTTACAAGTGATCTTTGCAGCAGCAGCCAGACAGGTATTTTTATTTTAAAGTGACTATTTGTGTGTCCTACAATAAACAAAGCTGGACATGTGCACTAGGATAGATAGAGCTTCCTTGGTTGGCTTTGTTTACTTCTGGTGAGTCAAACAAGATGTGATCTTTTCTTCAATACCTAGAAGCTCCAAAAATCATTTCTCAAAGGATCGTCTAAGGGGATCCTGATCTCTCAACTTGCAGCTAAAATCTTGTTTTTAAAGTAACTAATTTTTGAAACCAGAAATCCTAGGTGATGTCTCCTGAAATCATTACCACATTATTTCAAGGAAGCATGTAGTAGAGTATCTTGACTGTTCAATGGAGACCCTATCTGTTGGCAGACAGGTTAAAGTTTGCAGCCTGGAAAGTGATTTTGATTGTGAGCGGAACATGAAAGAACATACCTCAGCAGTGGTTAAGAATGGCTTTTTCATCTCTGAAAAAATTTAAAATCTGTAACCTTTTCCCGAGATTTGGACCTTGCCCCATTAAGCCATAAAAACATGAAAATTCAAGATGGAAAAGATCTATTAGGTCAGCTAGTCCATCTTCAGCCAATACCTTTGTGACATCTAGGCTAGGTTAAACACTTTGGGCTCCATGCTACACTCTGCCTCTAAAAGCAAATAGGAGCCAAACATAGAAGATCTGGCCCTCAGTGGCATAAAAGGGGGAGGGTTAGAAAGAGTTGCTCCCCCTTCTTTGTATCGCAGTGACTATGATTGGCTGAGCTCTACCATAGATTCTGCCCCTACAGAATATAAATATGAGTATTCATAACCTTAAATAATATAGCACTGATCTACAGGAGGGATGTCTGATTTCCTGTGACTCAGAAGGGCGGTTAAGATCAACAGGGTTGGAAATGTTGATTGTATCTTTGTGTAATCTCAAAAGGATTGGGGAATGGAGCTTCTTTGTTGAGGGTCCATGACATGCTATTTCTACTTATCTTACATGGGTACATGCACATCTGTGGAACCTTTCGGGGAGAAATTCAAGATGTTTTTGTTTCCTTGTTGTTTCCTTTATCCTATATTGATTGTTTTATTTCTTGTTTGTTATGAGGAAGGGCTATTTGTGGGTTTATGTTTTGTTTCAGCTGTGTCAACTTTAATTACTGGATAGTATTGCTAGGTGTTTGTAAACCCGTGTCCTCACCTCAAGGGCACCCTCCCCCCAACCTAGACACACCTTATAGGCACTTTGCCTCTCATACCCTCCCTTGCGGCCACTTTCTCAGCCACCATGACCATTCCCAGCCAGCCTCTTCCCCAGACTCACTCGCTGGATCTTCTGTGACGCTTCCTTCTGGCCAACTCACACAATGGTTCATTCCCTTTTTGGGGTAAGTAAAGGTCCAACTCAAATACCCAAACTAATTGCCGATCTGCCTCTCTCAGGCTCCACTAAAGTCCTCTGATTCTTGACCCCTTCTCCTGGCAACTGCAGGGCTTCTCTCACCTTGCTTCTTCTCCAGAAGGAGTCCCCTACTGCCTCCCTTTCCCAAAGATTCCTACAGCTTTCCCAAGGGATCTGCCTGCTGCAAAATTTCTCTTATAATTAATAGCCTTTGGGCATCTCCTGGGCTTCTCTTTTATTTCCTTATCTTTGTAGGCCTAGCTCAGGGCTCCTCCCTCTGTTCCCTGTGGATCTCTCAACCTGACTTCCTCAGGCTTTTCCCAGAGTGGGACTCTCCTTGTTCCTCCTCCGAGGGTTTTCCACCCTACTGACTTCCCAGCTCCATCAAAGTAGTACTCTCCCTGCTTCACCACCACAACTGGGGTGTCAGTCTTTCTAATTAAGCCCCATTACCCCCAGCTGGGGGTCACTAATTAGCCCTTATGTTGTTAATTAGCCCTCATCAGTGAGGCTGAGGGATAGCTGCTAAGTCATGGGCAAAGGTGAGACCAGCTTGCCTTAAAAGATCAGCCAGCCTGTTACAGTTTTTCACTAGTTGCTGTTAGCAGGCTTCTGGTAAGCACATGGAATTCCTTTGGACAAAGGGTATCTTGCAGATTAAAATGCAGTTTTAAGTTTATTATTGTAAAACATGCAGCTGTTTGTCATTCCTTATCCAAGCACAACTGCCATTGGCTTCAATAGGAGTTTTGCTTGAGTAAAGATTGTAGAGTTTGGCCTGTTTTTGCTAACGGCTGGATCCATTGTGTAAAAAAAACAAAAAACAAAACAAAAAAATGGCATCCATACACACTACATGCTGTAGATCTTTCCTCAACAAATGCAACTGAGCAAGTCACCAGAAGCTGTGGAAGATTTTATTGTATTCCCCATAGATCTGGGGTCTCAGAGATCAAAGTGATGTGACAAGGCTCACAGTTTGTGAGATGTCGTTTTTCAACATGCTAGTTATCACATAGCAACAGACTGATTGAATCAAATTCTGATTTCTGTAACTGGAAGCCATTGATTTATACTGAGTAGCTAAAGGCAAGCTACAATTTCTTTAAAAACTGTACATAGTCTTTTACTGGCTTTATTTTGTTTTATTTTTTCCTCTTTTTTGTCTTTCTTTTTGGTGTGTTAACATTTTGTTTCTTTTTTTAAAGGCTCTTCTATCAGGGAGTTATTTAAATCAGCCTGGGAGAGAGCTCTATATCTCAGACTACAGTATTCATTGATCATGCTCAGTACAGTTCACTGATGTATGAATTGACCATTTTCCATATATGGCCATTGTTTTTAGCTTCTTCACAATTGGGCGTGGGTGTGTATGGGGAGGGATGATAATGGGAAGGAGGGAAAGGGCTGAAATGGAGGGCCAAATGTTGACTTCTTTGGAAATTAGGGATCACAAACCATGATTCATACAGTACATACAGAGCCAAAGTTTTAGATGACCAAAGCCCTTAACAATTAATTAACTGTTGACTTTTACTGCCTGTGCCACAGATGTGCTCTCATTTGTACAGAGCAGTCCCTTGCAAACTATTTTTTTGTTAAATTGTTTACAAAGAAACTGGTAAGTGCAAAAAAAAATCTCTGCAAAAGATGCTTCCATGAATGCATGGATGTGTGGGTGTATTCACAACTAAAATATGCAAAAAGTTGAAAACTGCATAATACTTGATTTTGTAAGAGTATGGGAGTCCTTTTCAAATGGGTTTCATGCCTCATTCTCCCATGCTCTCTGGAGTTTGATGTTTCCCATCAAAAAGCAGAATCTATTTCATTTACAAAACAAGTTGGATTTAACTCTATAATTTGTAAATATTTATACATAGTTCCAGAGAATACATGGGCTAAACTGCATTTTTTCCTGATTACTTATATGCCTTAATACATCATCTTAGATCTCACTTTTTGTACTTGCAAAATTAAACTTTCAGATTAATAGACATTGCACAAAGAAGATGACAAATCAGCAGACTCCTGTGAGAAACAAAATCTAAAGTGGCATGTAATTCACAAGTGGGACAAGTTTTGTCTGAAGATTATTTTCTATTTTCCATTTTTAATTGACTGGTTATGAAAGGAGTTTGGGATATTTGTGACTTGGGCCTAATCCTGCAAACGCTTATGCATATGCTAAACTTTACACACACAAGAAGTCCCCTCAGTGGGACTACTCGTCTACAAATCTAATATGTGCAGAAATGTTTGCAGGATTGGGGCCTTGGTAATGTCGGGTTGATATCATATATAGAATATATGATGGTGATTATATTTTATTGTGTATTGTAACATGGGAAGACAAATGCTGACACAAACACCATGCTTCCTCTGGCACCTGCTTTGGTATTGCAGGCACAGTAGCATCATTTACTTGAATAGTGTGTTAATGCAAATTAAAAGCAAAAACCCAAATTAACCCAAAAAACATCAGATACTTATACTGAGGGCTTGTCTTTACTACGGGGGTAGGTTGACCTAAGTTATGCTACTCCAGTTACGTTATTCACATAGCTGGAGTCGACATAGCTTACGTCGACTTACCCCAGTGTCTTCACTGGGCTGCATCAACAGGAGACGCTCTCCGGTCAACTTCCCTTACTCTTCTCGGAGAGCTGGAGTACCAGGGTCGACAGGACAGCACTCTGCCATCAATTTAGCAGGCCTTCACTAGACCTGTTAAATTGATCCCTGCTGCATCGATTGCAGTAGTGTCGATCTTGTAGTGAAGACCAGTGCTTAGAAATGGGGCTGAGCCAAAAATTTAGATCCAAACCCACCTTAATTTTTAGAAAGCTTGGTTCTGGATTCGCATTCCAAATTTGTGGCTCAGGCCCATTTTTTCTTAAAGTCCTGGTTAACCTCTAACTTTAAGACTATATTAGAATGATAGCCTTAAACAATTACGGCATTTGGTTCCTTCCTCCTTGAATCTCTCTCTCAGGATCTGGTGAAACAACATTAGTCCTACTGTGTCACAGCATTTATTGAAATGCAAAATAATGTCACTTTACATTTTATATCTTTGATCTGTGACTATTCTTTTCAGGCTAGATTTTCTATTTCCTTGTTTTTCCTTCTTTTCTCAGATTTTTCTCTCATTCGTAATTTATTTACACATATTAATATATGTATATCTATATGGTCAAGATATTCAAAAGTGACTAGTAATTTAGGGTGTTTCAAGTTTTTGCGATCCCAACGTAAGACCCCTTAAAGGGGCCTGATTTTCAGAGGGTGGGTACTCAGCACATTTTGAAAATCAGCTCACTTTAAGATGTCAAATAGGGTACCCTAAAAGTGGAAACACCCAAAGTTACTTGTAACTTTTGAAAGTCCATGTATACATCTATATTACTCTCTCTCTCACACACACACATTTCATGACTCATCACACCGGTTACTCCACTTCTCGACTGCAGAAAAGTTCTCTAGTGCTGATATTGTGGAGACCTTAGGGACATCCTCCTAGTAATCAGTTGCAGACAATCTAATCCATCCAAGTCTTTGACTATCTCTCCAATCTCACTAAATTCTTAACCTCATGCTTCCTATTTCCTCTTATTCTAGTCCTTCTGGGAGAT